TGAAGGTTGGTACTATTAACCCTCTACTGACTGGGGTCCGGGTCTAGTAACGAACCTTCTATCAACCGCTCTTAACCTTTTACTGACTGAAGGAACTATTTGGGGTGGAGTATAAGAACTATTTTAATTTGGTTCTTTTAACCCTTTCCTAACTAGAGTCAGGGTCTAGGGGAGTGTATAGTATAGGAGCGAGTATTGCCAGGCAGTGTTAACCTACTAGAGTCGGTATAGGGGCTACTATTACCAGCACCATAACACTTTGCCCACCAGAGCCAGTAAAGGAGCTACTATTACCCAGCACCATCAACCCTTTGACCGCCAGAGCCAGTATAGGAGCTACTACCGTGTTTCCCCGAAAATAAGACACTGTCTTATATTTTTTTTGGCTCAAAAAAACACACTGGGTCTTATTTTCGGGGTAGGTCTTATTTTTTTTTTAATGTACAACAATCCACACTTATTCATGTAGAAAAATATGGTGATCAGGGGTGCCGTACCTTTCCAAGAGCAATTTGGTAACCAATTGCTGGCCAGGATGAGCGAAGCGCGCTTTCACTATGGATTCCTCACAGGCCGAGTGCATTTGGTTTCACTCCGCCTGTGACAGGAGTCAGCGCTATAGAGGAGGAATCGGCTTATGCGGCTCTGCTCCCTCCGGTGCCGCCTCGCTTCCTCTAGCGCTGCCTTCATTGCCACCACTGATTCTCTCCTGCGGCTCTTCAAGTTCCCCCTCATGCCACCACCGGCCCTGGGAAAAGTCACAACTAGGTCTTATTTTCGGGGAAACAAGGTATTACCCAGCACCATCGACCCTTTGAGCAGCAGAGCCGGTATGGGGGCTATTACCCAACACCATCAACCTTTTGCCCACCAAAGCCAGTATAAGGGCTACTATTACCCAGCACCATTGACCCTTTGCCCACCAAAGCCAGTATAGGGGCTACTATTACCCAGGACCATCAACCCTTTTCCCACCAGAGCCAGTATAGGGGCTACTATTACCAAGCACCATCAACCCTTTTCCCACCAGAGCCAGTATAGGGGCTACTATTACCCAGGACCATCAACCCTTTTCCCACCAGAGCCAGTATAGGGGCTACTATTACCAAGCACCATCAACCCTTTTCCCACCAGAGCCAGTATAGGGGCTACTATTACCCAGCACCATCAACCTTTTGCCCACCAGAGCCAGTATAGGGGCTACTATTACCCAGCACCATCAACCTTTTGCCCACCAGAGCCAGTATATGGGCTACTATTACTCAGCACCATCAACCCTTTGCCCACCAGAGCCAGTATAGGGGCTACTATTACCCAGCACCATCAACCCTTTGGCCGCCAGAGCCAGTATAGGGGCTACTATTACCAAGCACCATCAACCTTTTGCCCAACAGAGCCAGTATAGGGACTACTATTACCCAGCACCATCAACCTTTTGCCCACCAGAGCCAGTATAGGGGCTACTATTACCCAGCACAATCAACCCTTTGTCTACCAGAGCCAGTATAGGGGCTACTATTATCCAGCACCATTGACCATTTGCCCATCAGAGCCGGTATAGGGGCTACTATTACCCAGCACCATAAACC